ACTGGTTGTTTATGTCTGGAGTTTACACCTTCAGCTGCGGCCCCTCGGAGTTGTGGGACATGACTTTCCCACCACACTCCCAAATGGCATTATCGGGACACATGAACTCCCCCTTCCTATCCTTCGTCTCCCAGGAGAGTCCCCCACTCTTTCCCTGTGAGTGTGCCCCATGTACTTTTGCTTATGGAGAGTCTCACTCACTGCTCTGAAGGCACAAACCCGCCAAAGCCCCAGGCAAACTAAGCTCAGGGTGCTGCTGCCACCTAGTGACGACTTTTTCCTTGGTCAACACTAACCTTGAACACTACAGTGAAGATGGGGTAAGAGACAAAAGAAGACACGGAAGTCAGTGACAGACGTTGTCACTGTGGGTGGCACCAAGTGTTCGTGTGATTATGACTTGAAAGTCTTGTTGCAAATGGTAGCACTGAACACACAGGGGTCTAAGGATCCTCATCGGGTGTGAGGACGATCTCTTCCGGGGAGGGCCTGCAGGGAGTGCCCCTCAATGAGAAACACCTGACAAGGGTTGACAAAAGCATGCACAGGGGTTTCTGATTCTGGGTAAGTAGTTTGGCCTGAGCCTCTTCACAGGAATGTCACCATCCCTCCCTGTCACATCTCTACTTAAATGCAGGTAGCATTTCAATAACCCAAGGAAACGTTCAAGAGAACAGAATGGTGTCGATCAGAAGTGAAAGTCGTGAAGAGAAATCAGATCCAAACACAGCCAGAGAACCCCAGTGTCTCAGATATGGCAGGAGATAACACTCAAGACAGAGAGGCTGCATTTCTGAGGGTCCATAGAATGGAGAGACTAGAACAAGCAAGATGAAACAGATTAAGTAACTGAACCCAAACAACAGGGGACCTCACAGTAAATAGAGGACAAGCAAGCGTCGGGTGAGTCCTGCTGAGGACCTTTTCTAAGATAATGCAAAATCATCTCAACTGTTACTTAGGAAGAGGAGACGATCTGATGGCTGCTTTATTAAAGTAAACGTAACTCCGTCAACCACAGAGAAGAGTGGAGGGTCGATATGAGGGCTTCCATTGTCAGAATCCAGGAAAGAAATGATTCAAGGTGATCTGACTATAAGGAGACACACGGATTCGGAAAGCATTTAGGAGATAGGATGCCACCATTGCGTATACATTGGCTACATGTGGTTAGGTAGGAAAAAGTGGAAAATGCCTTTGATTTTTGTGACGCTTTACTGCCAACACAAACTAGGATCACCTGAGAAGAAAATCCCATGAGGGATCGTCTACACTGAATCGACATGTGGGTGTATCCATGGAAACCCGTCTTAATCAGTTAATCAATGAAGGAAGACGGAGCCCAGGGTGGGCGGCACCATTCCCTAGGTAAGGGGTCCTGAACTGTATAAAAGTGGAGAAATCAAGATGAACACAAGCAAGCAAGTAAACATGTCTGCATTCACATCTCCCTGCTCTTTACTGGGGACATGCTATAATCAGCTGCTTGAAGTTCCTGCACTGACTTCTCCACCATGATGAAATGTAACCTGGAATTGTAAGATGAAACCAATCTCCTTCTCCTCCGAGCAACAGAAAGAAACTAAAACATATCTCAAGGTGTCAAACAGCTGGGAAATTTGTTGGTGTTAAGGTAAAAAGATCAGATTTGGTAAATTGCCAAAATCGTGAACATACCAAGTTTCCAATTATCTTGAGACATTTGAGGGCAAGGGTCAAGGACGCAGGTGACTATCCAATGAAAATCAGAAGTCTGGGGGAGCAAGTGGCTTTTGCTGTCCTGGCACTGACGCTGCTGCTGAAGGTCAGAGCATGACATCAGGAGAGAGAAGATGACTGCTTTGGGCTTTGGGCACATCGACACGCAATGATTGGTATAGGATCGTGGAGAAGAAAAGATGACGACTCAAGAGATGGTTTAAGAGAAAATCTAGTTTAGCTGTGCGGTGTGAAAAGGCAAGTCTTTGCAGGAGCTGCTAGATGAGAAGGGGCTCGAACCCACGGCCGTCAGTGACCTCAGCTAGAGCCATTCCTAGGAGATGAAGATAACAGAAACCAGCAGGACGACGATGGAAATCATTGGCCACTGTTACAGGTTCACAGGCAAGACGCCACTGCAGCAGGATGCAAAACAGAGAGAATGCCAACTGAATGGGTGGGAAGAATCTGCCCAGAAAATGTCAAAGATGATATTTTTAAGATGAAAGATTTGAATACAGGGAACACTGCAGTGTAGCAGGGGCTTGATCCTGGGGGCAGAACAGACAGATGAATGTAATAAAGTACAACTAATAAAGTTAAAATTTTTACTGGGTCTTGATAAAAATGAAAGGAAAATACTTGCTTTGATGGCATTGGATAAAACTTCAGAGAGCATAAGCCTGCTGACATATCTTGATGACTTAAAATACAGTGCTGGTTATTTGTATTTCAAAACATTTACAAGCTGGAAAGTAAAGTGTACACATACAGATAGATTTACAGAGACATGAGCATCCATGTGTAAAGACAGATGACAGACAATAAAAATATGAAATCATGGCCTTCGTTAATAAAACAGGTTGGGACCCTTTGTTCCAATTTATGCTGCAGTAACAAGAGCCTTCAATCCAAACACAACTGATTTTGATTTCCTTACTAGCCCGTTACCAGGAAGGAAATGATCCGAGATGTGAAAGGGTGCCGAGAGACCTAGGGGCAAATGGTTGGAAAGAGACTGTCTTTGGAATGGTGGTGAAGTCTTAAGGTCTGTTTGAACATTCTTTGGGGGTCAGAGATAAAACAGTATTTCCAGGACAGACTGCATAGTGAAGGCATACCTGTGCAATGAGCAGAAAACATTGGGGGAGGCAATAAGGGGGGAGTCAGTTCTTTGAGAGAAGAGGGGAAGAAGGAGGGAAGAGAGAGGAGAGGGTCCCAGTGCACTAGCCAAAGACACAGAGTTTAGGCAGTGTGTAAATAACCCCTGAGCCTAAAATGGGAGCAGAGAGTGACATTCATCAACAAAACCTAACAGCCTCCTCGTCTCGTTAGTTCTGAGATAGATGGGTTTCCTAAAGAGTAGTATCATTCATTTCATCTTCCATGTAAGACACATCCAGCAAGTTGCTGAGTTGTTAGGGCTGATAGCCAGTGCTGCCAGCTCCGAGCAAACCCATACACACAATCTCAACAGGCTTCGCATAAGTGAGAGCTGACCAACCCTTTCTTACACATTTTTACAAAGTTATAGAATCACTTGTTCATTGCAATGATAATTTATATTAATACCAGAATGGATCAAAATAAAAAGTTATTTTGGAAATATCTAGTAAATACTTCCAGCAAAAATACCATTTGTTATCTATCAAAGAAAAGTAAATGGATCTCCTGATACTTGGGGGTGTGGGGGTACTCTAACTGACATGGGAAATGTGGATAGCTCCATGAATACTATCATCTGTAGAGAAATTATCTAGCAACACCCTGTGGAAAAAAGATGCCATAAACTAGAAATAAAATCATACTGGAAGTTACCTACAGATATATATATATATATATATATATATATGTTTAACAACAAAACACTTTAAGAGAAAGTGGATGTAATTCCAAATTATGATTATTCAATATGTCTATAACCTGATGTGCCATATCTATATATAAATATATATAAAGATTCAGAGTTGGCTGTGGAAAGTAACTTAATTTCTTTGACCAACTAAAGTTGACTCTTTACAGATCTAATTTATATTAAAGTTGAGTTATAGTATTATGTGTTATATAATATATTATAAAATTGGATTGTAACAAATTATATTAAATATGTGGAAATATGTTTCCATCATTTGGAGATAAAAGAGACACAGCAAGTTTGTGTGGCAGATGACATTTAGAAAATACACCAATATTATATTACACACACATACAGTTTCACAATTGTAAGCGGGACAAAATCCAACCAAAATACAGAAATATTTTGGTGAAGATATTCTTGGCTTCTGACATGGAAAAATGTTGGATATATGGATACAAAGCTAGTCTGGGTCAGTGACCCCTCCTTCCTCCTGTGTTAGTGGTGACACACAGCACAGGAATTCAACACTTGTAGAAGAAGTGTCCCTAAAAACCACTGAGAGAGCCCAATAATCCAGAATGATATTTGACACAATGATTTACCTATTAAATACTTAATTGATGATAAGCCTTGCATGGGAACTGTAGAATAAGAGATCCTTCACATGTCTACAATTTTAATTACATTTCTTCTCAAAAACAATGGACACATAGAAAACACTCATTTGTCACTTCATGTTTACAACAAACTGTCACTCATATGCCCACTGGTCAACTAGGCTCATCACGGCCGGAAACAGGTGGACACACCATGGAGACCTCGCTTGAAATCTGGCTCGGTTCTCTCCCTGCCACGGTCAGGAGCCAAATGGTGTGCCCTAAAATTCTTCACTTGTTCTTCCTGTCGCATTATTTGGGAGCAGGGTCTTTTCAGGTATTGTAGGTTAGTATGAGGTCAGACTGGAATAAGATGGAGTCCTAATATAATAGATCTAGTGGTCTTAAAAGAGAAAGAAGTTTGGACTCAGCTCTATGCACAGGGAGGATGAAAATGAAGGCTGCATACAAAAGGTTGTCTGTTCAGGAAGGCAGCCGCTACGGGGGAGAGCAGGATTCTCTCACAGCCCTCAGGAGGAGGCAGTCCTGCTCACACTGTGATCTTTCACAGCCAGGCAATACATTTGCGCTGTTTACTCCACTACATGTGTAGCACTGTGTCGTGGGAGACATTGCAAATTAATACGGGCACCTCCTCAGTTCTCACAGCTTACCACAGGGCACTGATTAACCCATCCCCACTTCCCACTGGGCGTGCGCGGTCTTCTTCGGAGTTCACAAAATCGCCATCAACTCATTCAGAAACATCCACAATTATATGCTGCCAATGACTGACACGTTCTTCCATCAGTGGCATAGCAATTACATCTGACGCCTTCCTCCCTTACCTTCTGCTTGCTCCCGTGTTTGGAGAGGCATTGTGACCAGGAGGGGGTGGAGGAAACCAGGACTGTCTGTTAAGAAATGACACCAGTCAAAACCATAGCGTTTGAAAGGCTCATCCCACCCCACATCTGGGGGTGGGAGGGCAGTTGACAGATAATTTTTAAAGGAAGCCTTGGAAATAAATTGCATGCCATTTCACAAATGGAGTAAAGACGACGGGATCTTACACTTTGGGCTATTTTCCCGGCAAATGAACTGATTTTTTTCATTTCCTTTGACACCAAGAAAAAGAAATGTGGACATTCCCTGAAAACCTCGAAAAGCTGGGAAAGAAACATAACTGTCAAACCTAGGCGGCAGGTTTGTGTGTGTTCACCACGTTAGTCTTCCTCTTTTTTACCTTCCTGGTCTGGTGCACGGTGGAAATAACAACTTCATTCTCTAGTTAAAATACGATGTTCAAACGGTAACATGGAACACCCTGACAAGGCCTTAGAGACAGACATGAACGCCACAGCAATGCTAACCGCAGCTTCAACATATGCTAGGAACATGACCTTATAGAGCAAGGATGTAATCTCATTTAGCTGGAGCTGGAGCCAAGATCCCTATTGAGAGGGCTAAAATAAGAACAACAAAATAAAAGACATGGAGGGAGTATAATATGAGCCAGGGAAGGGATGGTGAGGCTGAGGAGACCCAGAGCCCTGGCCAACATTCCTGAAGTAACATGACTTGATTTGCTTAATGCAAGTTTCTCCAGCTGACATAACTTCAACCTAGGAATAACTCTATGCTAAAAAAATGTTATTGTGTTACATACCACATTTTCTTCATCTGTCCTTCCATTGTTGGACACCTTAGATTGTTTTCTGCAGCTCAGTTCAGTAGTGCTGGAGCAAACACTAGTGTGTTTGATTGTGTTTATTTTGGCTTTAAAAACCAATTTCTAAATGTTTCTAAGTATCTATGTATGTGTTGTCTGTTGAGAGTATCTCTCCCTGCACCCCGACACCCTCTATCTATTCACCCCTCCCTTCCCATTTATCTGGGATATATTGGCTTAGAGTCAATTGGATTAGCACCTATGAATATACTGGGTCACACAGTAGATGTAGTTTTTGTTTTATGAGTCCCATTAAAATCATATATGTATGTACACAAATATATATGTAATGAAAATAGAAATGAAATTGCCTAAAAACACAAAGAAAACAGAACAAGGTCCCCAGAAAGGGTCTTGACTCTAATGTAGAATTAGCCTAAAGCTACAGAGCAATGGAGGATGCTCGGGGTGCGTGGAGATGCGTGGTCATTCACCAATCACCGTCTCAAGTTAAGCCACTCTCTGGCACGCAACTGTGTGGAAGGTTACTTGAAGCAGCACGGCTCTTACCATCTAAGCTCGCCACCAATATCATCTAGAGGAGCCTGGAGTACAGCTCAGCCAGAGGCGGATACCGGGTGCCCGCCTTACCTTTTCTTCTTCACAGGCGCGATAGCAGGTGTGGGAGCCGTGGTGGCGGTGTTTGCATTAAAGGAGCTGCCAGCCGGCCTGTTTAATGAGGAGAACAGGTCGTCACCTTCCTCCAGCTTCTTCGCCTCCACGCCCCCACGCCCCCACGCCCCACGCACCCACACCCCTCGCACCCACGCCCCCACACCCCACGCACCCACACCCCACGCCCCTGCCTTTGAAACTATCTACTCATATCCCACCTACTGTCTATCTACGATAAAAACATTGTACTTGAGGATGGGAAGCAGTAAGAAAAAAAAATCCCTCTTAGTTTATTTGTCCTGTACACTATCAGGCTCTTATGTAGCTGGTTAAAAAACGAAGAAGTAACTGGCTGAGAAAGTAGTTAACACCTGGTGTTAATTATGTAAAGCTCAAGCTAACCAGTTGTGACATGCTATAGATTAATATTCTCTTAGTTTCAGTATTTTGTTGTGGTTGACAGAGTTATGCTGGCTTTTTGCATTAGAAATATCTTGCCAGGCAGTGGTGCTACACGCCTTTGATCCCAGCACTCGGGAAGCAGAGGCAGGCAGATCTCTGTGAGTTCAATGCCAGCCTGGTCTACAAAGTTACACAGGGAAACCCTGTCTTTAAAAAAAAAGGAGAAAGGAAGGAAGGAAGGAGAAGAGAAAGAAAAGAAGGAAGAAAAGAAAGAAAGAAAGAAAGGAAGAAAGGGAAGAAAGAAAGGAAGAAAGAGATCTTAAGAAAAGAATGAAAACCACACATTAGTGATTTCCATTTGGCATTTATTCTCCATTTTGCCATACATTCAGATCCTCAAAAAGCGGCAATGACCCAGAGCCTGGTTTACACATTAAGACTGGGATCCAGAATGAAACATATTTTATCCATAAATACAGTCTTAAAGGTAACTATGCTAAAGTTCTCCCTATATGTGTTGCTTATAAACACTGGAATATATGTCAGGGAACAGACATTTCATGATTTTGTGGTTTCATGATCAACTGAGTTTGCACTGAGGGATGAGACAGACATTGATTTGAGGGGCACTGGGGAATAAGGTGAGGTACAGGATGAAGGAAACTTGGTTGCCTAAGAATCAGGGGAAACCAGAGTCCTTTGTCTTACTTTGTTTTGTTTTTATGTGTGTGAGGGTTTGGCCTGCATGCATTTCTGTGCACCACTTGCGTGTGTGGTGCAAGCAGAGGCCAGAAGGGGGCATTAGACCCCCAGAACTGGAGTTAGAGAGGGTTGCGAGCTGCCATTCAGATGTTAGGAATCGAAACTGGGTCTTCTAAAAACCAGCCAGGGCTCTCAACCAGTGAGCTACCCCTCCAGCCCTGAGTCCAATCTTAAATATAAGACTAAAGGCATTGATCTAAACTTCAGTGATTTTCTTTAGAGCAATGGTAGGTAAGCTTTTTAAGTACAAGTCTAGCCAGAAAGTATTTGATCCTTTGAAACCTATTTGGTTCTTCTTCTCTGCCATTAGCTCTGCCAACAGAGGGCCTAGCTGGATTCCAATGACACTTTGGCCTGAGGGTTGGAAGCCTTGATGGGTTTTTTTTTAATTTTTAAATTTTTTAAATTTTTTTATTTCATTTTACATTCCAACCACAGTTCTCCCTCCTACTCCTCCTCCTACACCCCCTCGCTTCCTCCCACCCCCCCTCACCTCTCCCCAGCCCACCCACAGTCTACTCCTCCTCGAAGGTAAGGGCTCCCATGAGGTATCAACAAAGTCTGGCACAATAGGTTGAGGCAGGGACGGGTCCCTCTCCTATGCATTAAGACTGGGCATGGCATCCTCTATAGGGAACAGGCTACAACAAGCTAGCTCATGCACCTAGATAATATTGTGGTCCTCCTGCCACTGAGCACAGCATCCCTCCCTAAGGAACGGGCTCCAATAAGCTAGCTCGTGTACTAGGGTTGTATTGTGGTTTTACTGACAAGGGACCCTCAGCTAGTCCAAGCTGCACAACTGTCTCCCACATACGGAGGGCCTAGATATCTTAATAGAGAGAGCCACAGTTGGCTTAGGGAGAAACCTGGTGCTAGGGTAACTCCCAGGAATCCACAAGCCTTGATAGTTTTCAAATGCACCCAAGGAAACACACACCAGTTAGGAGGATACTTACATCTTCGTTGCTTCTGGTGTCCTCAACACGGACAGTGTTCTAAAAGAAGAAAGAAACAATGGCACAGTTTCAGCAACAGTGAAATCCTAGTTAATTTCTCCTTTCTCTGTGCTTGTCCAAGAATTTAAAGCTACGAGGAAAAACTAGAGGTTACTTGAGAAGGAGAAAGAGTATCATTATTTGAATAAATTTTGTGAGGTGGCTTTCATGGTGTTTAAAATCTCCTCTACTAATTCCCAAGACATTCTATTTCTCCAGAAAAGTCGTTGTTATTACAGTTCAATGTCTTAAGATGCTGGATTTGATCATTTCAAATGTAAAATTCATAATCTTACCACCAGAACAACTAAACAGAGACATAGATGAGGTAAGAATGAGAACCCTCAGCAATGGAGCCTCTGGGTTTGGAAACCAGTTTATTCTACCATGAGCAAAATCAAAGGTTTTTACATAAGAAATGCTGTTCTAAAAATATAAAGGGTAACGTGGCCTGAACAAGGCTTGTACCAACCAGTCAACATTCCAGAATGTAGAAAATAGGAGATCTAAGCCCCACGCCTAATTAACAGTTAATGGCTTCTAGAAAGTCAAAGGTGAGATGCAGGATGAGAAAGAGTTGGTTGCCTAAGAAATGGGGCGAGCAGAGTCCATTGTTTTCCTTTGATGTGTATGGGTGTTTTCTTTGAGAATGCTGTCCCTGGTAGGTAGACAATGCTCCAGCAGATGATGTCACACCCGTAAGTACATAGACGCAGGGTGGGGGTGGGGTGGCTAGGGAGAAGGTTCAGCAGTGAAGAGCACTGACTGTTCTTCCAGAGGATCTAGGTTCAATTCCCAGGACACACATGGGAACTCACACCCTCTTCTGGCCTCCTCCCAACACCAAGGCATGCACATGGTACACAGATATACATGTCTGCAAAATGCTTATGAGTACAAAATTTAAAAAAACAATTTAAAAAAGATGTTGGGGATAAGAGGTGGGTCTAGGAGGAGTTGGAGGGAGGCATGGCAGCGAATATGATCAAAATATATTGTACTGTATGAATTTTTCAAGAATTAACTATGTATTTTTTTTAATACACAAAGGCTTAAATTTTACAGAAAGATATTGAACATGACTGAGAGTTGTTAGTTAAAAAAAAGTAACACATAGGATTATCTTGAGCCTTTTCCAAAGTTCGGGAATGCTGGTACTATTGGTTAGTTGGTCATCCGAGCTTGGGGCCTTAACTGTTTCAGCGTCAGCACGCCCGTCTGCCCTGACATACAACACAGAAGTCTGCATACACACTTAGCTTATCGAACTTTCTCTTTCATGTCTCACCAATTTTATATTTTATATTATATTTTATATTTAATCATTTCTTTGTAAAAAAAGAGCTTTTCTGTGTTACATTTTATAGTGCTGGAAAGTAAAAGCTGGCTGGTGAGGCCGTCTGGATATCACTTTGAATTTTAGGTGTACAGTAACTACTGTTGTTCACCTTTCTCGCTCACAGAGATCTTGACTCACCAATTATTTCTCGTGTTTTTATAGTTCAATGACGATACTTCCTACACTGGTAAAAGGACATCAACGAAACACTTCAGTTGTCTTTTTAAAAATTTTTTTTTCTAGCCAGGCTGCCTATTTTATTCAGTTATGTCACTATTGCAAATTCTTTTTTTTATCATTTTTATTTTAATTTTAAATAGCTTGTTTTACATGTCACTCCCAGTTCCCTCTCCCTCCCCTCCTCCCGCACTCCCCTTTCCCCCCTCCCTCCCACCCTATTGCCAAATCCTTCCCCATAGGGGATATCTAGATTTTACTCTTGGTAGGGTCCAGGCACTCCCCTAAGAGTCCAGGCTGAGAGAGCATCTCTCTTTGTGCTATAGGCACACGAAGACAGTTTGTATACCAGGGATAGACACTGATCCACAGCTCAGGGCCCCATAGGTTGCCCAGGCCTTCTCAATGACACTCACATTTGGGGGGTCCAGATCAGTCCCATGCTGGCCTCGCCACTGTCGGTCTAGGGTCCAAGAGCTCTCCCCTGTTCAGATCAGCTGTCTCTGCTGGTTTTGCCAGCCCATTCTTTGCCAATTTGCTCATCACTCCTCTCTCTCTCTCTGTCACTGAGTTCCTTGGGTTCAGTTCAGTGATTAGTTGTGTGTTTGCCTCTGCTTCCATCAGTCACAGGATGAAGGCTCCCAGATGGTTATAGACATCAAGTTCATTATCAGGGATGGGCATTCGAGGTGGTCTCTCCACTATTGCTTAGCTTGCCAATTGGTGTTATCCCTTTAGATCACTCGAGGTCACTCTGGTGCCTGATCTGTCTTCGAAACTATGATTCCCTCTTCCCCATATTCTACCCCCACCCCCTCAACTTCCTGTTCCCCCATGACCAACTCCCTTCCTCTTCACCCCCTCTCTTCTTCCCAGGTCCCACCCCCCCACCCCTCGCCGTGTTCCCCATCCATTCAGAGGATCTTGTCTCCATCCTCTTCTCTTGGGTACTATGCATATATGCATATCTTTTAGGTTCTTTCCTGTTTCCCAGACTCTCTATCTGTGGAAGTATAGACTGGCACTATCCTGATCCATGTCTAAAATCCATATATGAGTGAGTACATACCATGTTTGTCTTTTTGCGACTGGGTTACCTCACTCAGGATGGTTTCTTCCAGTGCTATCCATTTCCCTGCGAATTTCAAGATTCCATTGTTTTTTCTGCTGAGTAATACTCCATTGTGTAAATGTACCACATTTTCTCTATCCACTCTTCAGTTGAGGGGCATCTAGGTTGCTTCCAGGTTCTGGCTATTACAAACAATGCTGCTATGAACATAGTGGAGCAGATGCCCTTGTTGTATGAACCTGCCTCATTTGGATAAATGCCTAAGAGTGGAATTGCTGGGTCTAGTGGTAGATTAATTCCCATTTTCCTGAGGAATCTCCATACTGATTTCCAAAGAGGCTGTATGAGTCGGCACTCCCACCAGCAGTGGAGGAGTGTTCCTCTCTCTCCACATCCTCTCCAGCATAAATTGTCTTTGGTGTTTTTGATTCTAGCCCTTCTGACAGGAGTAAGATGGTATCTCAGAGTTGTTTTGATTTGCATTTCCCTGATGGCTAAGGATGTTGAGCACTTTCTTAAGTGTCTCTTGGCCATTTTAGCCTCCTCTACTGAGAATTCTCTATTTAGCTCTGTACCCCACCTTTCAAGTGGATCCTTTGGTGTTTTGGAGACTTGTTTCTTGAGTTCTTTGTAAATTTTGGAGATTAGCCCTCTGTCAGATGTAGGGTTAGTGAATATCTTTTCCCATTCTGTGGCCTGCCTTTTTGTCTTTTTGACTGTGTCCTTTGCCTTACAGAAGCTTTTTAGTTTCAGAAGGTCCCATTTGTTAATTGTCGATCTCAGTGCCTGTGCCACTGGTGTTATGTTTAGGAAGTGGTCTCCTGTACCAACTCGTTGAAGAGTATCTCCCACTTTCTCTTCTAAAAGTTTCAGTGTGGCTGGATTTATGTTGAGATCTTTGATCCATTTGGACTTAAGTTTTGTACAAGGCGATAAACCTGGATCTATCTGCAGTCTTCTGCATACCAGTACCCAGTTATGCCAGCACCATTTGTTGAAGATGCTTTCTTTTTTCCATTGTACAATTTTAGCTTCTTTGTCAAAAATCAAGTGCTCATAGATGTGTGGGTTAAAATTAGAGCTTTCGATTCGGTTCCATTGGTCTACCTGCCTATTTTTGTGCCAATACCAAGCTGTTTTCAGGACTATAGCTCTATAATAGAGCTTGAAGTCAGGTATGGTGATGCCTCCTGAAGTTCCTTTATTGTATAGGGATGTTTTGGCTATCCTGGGCCTTTTGTTTTTCCATATAAAGTTGATTAATGTTCTTTCCAGGTCCTTGAAGAATTGTGATGGAATTTTGATAGGGATTGCATTGAATCTATAGACTGCTTTTGGCAAGATTGCCATTTTTATTATGTTGATCCTACCAATCCAAGAGCATGGGAGATCTTTCCATTTTCTGGTATCTTCTTTGATTTCTTTCTTTAAAGACACAAAGTTCTTGATATACAGGTCTTTCACTTCCTTGGTTAACATTATCCCCAGATATTTGATGCTGTTTTTGGCTATTGTAAAAGGTGATGTTTCTCTGATTTCTTTCTCAGTCACTTCATCATCTGTATATAATAGGGCCACTGATTTTTTTGAGTTTACCTTGTATCCTGCCACATTGCTGAAGGTGTTTATCAGCTCTAGGAGTAACCTTGCGGAGTTTTTGGGTCACTTATGTAAACTATCATATCATCTGCAAATAGTGAAAGTTTGACTTCTTCTTTTCCTATTTGTATCCCCTTTATCTCCTTTTGTTGTCTTATTGCTGTAGCTAGAACTTCAAGTACAATATTGAAGAGATATGGAGAGAGTGGACAGCCTTGTCTTGTTCCTGATTTTAGAGGAATTGCTTTGAGTTTCTCTCCATTTAGTTTGATGTTAGCTGTTGGTTTACTGTATATTGCTTTTATTATATTCAGGTACGTTCCTGTTATCCCTGATCTCTCTAGGACCTTTATCATGAAGGGGTGCTGGATTTTGTCAAAGGCTTTTTCAGCATCTAGTGAGATGATCATGTGGTTTTTCTTTTGCAGATTGTTAATATGGTGGATTACATTGATAGATTTTCTAATGTTGAACCATCCCTGCATTCCTGGAATGAAGCCTACTTGATCATGGTGGATGATTTTTCTGATGTGTTCTTGAATCCGGTTTGCGAGTATTTTATTGAGTATTTTTGCATCAATGTTCACGAGGGAAGTTGGTCTAGAGTTCTCTTTCTTAGTTGTGTCTTTATGTGGCTTGGGTATCAAGGTAATTGTAGCCTCGTAGAAAGAGTTTGGCAGTAAGCCTCCTGCTTCTATTGTGTGGAATACTTTGAGGAGTATTGGAATTAGCTCTTCTTTGAATTTCTGGTAGAATTCTGCACTGAAGCCATCTGGGCCTGGGCTTTTTTTGTTTGGGAGACTTTTGATGACTGCTTCTATTTCATTAGGGGTTATAGGTCTGTTTAGATTGTTTATCTGTTCTTGATTTAGTTTTGGCAAGTGATATCTATCCAGGAAATTGTCCATTTCCTTTAAATTTTCAAATTTTGTGGAGTACAGATTTTCAAAGTATGCCCTGATGATTCTCTGGATTTCCTCAGAGTCTGTTGTTATGTCCCCTTTTTCATCCCTGATTTTGTTAATTAGCATGCTCTCTCTCTGTCTTTTGGTTAGTTTGGACAGAGGTTTGTCTATTTTGTTGATTTTCTCAAAGAACCAACTCTTTGTTTCATTGATCCTTCTCAGTGTTTTCCTGGTTTCTACTTGGTTGATTTCAGCCCTCAATTTGATTATTTCCTGGCGTCTGCTCCTCCTGGGGGAGTTTGCTTCTTTTTGTTCTAGAACATTCAGCTGTGCTATTAATTCTCTAGTATGACTGTTCTCCAGTTTTTTCATGTGGGCACTTAGTGCTATAAACTTTCCTCTCAGCACTGCTTTCAAAGTGTCCCATAAGTTTGTGTATGTTGTGTCTTCATTCTCATTGAAATCGAGGAAGTCTTTAATTTCTTTTTTTATTTGTTCCTTTACCCAGGGATGGTGCAATTGTGCATTGTTCAATCTCCATGAGTTTGTAGGATTTCTGCGATTTGTGTTATTGTTGAATTCTAATGTTAATGCATGGTGATCTGATAAGATGCAGGGGGTTATTCCAATTTTTTTATATCTGTGGAGATTTGCTATGTTTCCTATTATGTGGTCAATTTTAGAGAAGGTTCCATGTGGTGCCGAGAAGAAGGTATATCCCTTTGTATTTGGATGGAATGTTCTATAGATGTCTGTTAAACCCAGTTGGGTCATAACTTCTATTAATTCTTTCGTTTCTTTGTTAAGTTTCTGTCTGGAGGTCCTGTCTAGCGGTGAGAGCGGAGTGTTGAAGTCTCCTACTATTAGTGTGTGAGATTTTATGTGCATTTTGAGCTTTAGTAATGTTTCTTTCACGAATGTAGGTGCCTTTGTATTTGGGGCGTAGATGTTTAAAATTGAGACTTCCTCTTGATGTATTTTTCCTTTGATGAATATGAAGTGCCCTTCTTCATCTCTTTTGATTGATTTTAATTTGAAGTCTAATTTGTTAGATATTAGGATTGCTATGCCCGCTTGTTTCTTGGGGCCGTTTGATTGGAAGATCTTTTCCCAGCCCTTTACTCTGAGATAACGTCTGTCTTTGATGTTGAGATGTGTTTCTTGTATGCAGCAGAAGGAAGGGTTCTGTCTTCGTATCCATTCTGCTAGTCTGTGTCTTTTTATAGGCAAGTTGAGGCCGTTGACATTGAGGGATATTAATGACCATTGATTGGTGATCCTGTTTGCGCTTGATTTATTGTTAGTGAAGTTATTTTGTGTAGTTTCTCCTCCCTTTTTCTTTTGGTGTTTTGTAAAGTATGATTATATATTGCCTGTGTCTTTGTGAATGTAGTTATCTTCCTTGGCTCTAGGTTTTCCTTCTAGCATTTTTCTGTAGAGCTGGATTCATGGATACGTATTGTTTAAATCTGGCTTTGTCAGGGAATATTTTGTTTTCTCCATCTATGGTAATTGAGAGCTTTGCTGGATATAGTAGTCTGGGCTGGCATCCTTGTTCCCTTAGCGTTTGTAGGACATCTGACCAGGATCTTCTGGCTTTCATCGTTTCCATAGAGAAGTCAGGTGTAATTCGGATAGGTCTGCCTTTGTATGTTATTTGGCCTTTTTCTTTAGCTGCTCTTAATATTTTCTCTTTACTCTGTAGGTTGGATGTTTTGATTATTATTATGGCGAGGTGACTTCTTTTTCTGGTCAAGCCTATTTGGTGTTCTGTAAGATTCTTGTACTTTCATAGGCATATCTTTCTTTAGGTTAGGGAAGTTTTCTTCTATGATTTTGTTGAATATGTTTTCTGTACCTTTAAGTTGAATTTCTTCACCTTCTTCTATACTTATTATTCTCAGGTTTGGCTTCTTCACGGTGTCCCATATTTCCTGGATATTTTGTGTTAAGGATTTGTTGGTTTTGAGATTTTCTTTGGTTGACGACTCTATATCCTCTAATGAGTCTTCAACACCTGAGATTCTCTCTTCTATCTCTTGTATTCTATTGGTGATACTTGCATCTGTAGTTCCAGATCGTTTACCGAGCTTTTCTATTTCCAGCATCCCTTCATTCTGTGTTTTCTTTATCGTTTCTATTTCAGCTTTCAATCCTTCAACTGTTTGAGCTGTTTCCTTAATTTTTTTGGTTGTTTTTTCTTGGTGCTCTTTAGATTCTTTGAGAGATTTATTTCTTGAATTTTCCCCCATTTCATGGATTTTTTTGTTTGTTTTTTCTTCTATTTCTTTAAGGGATTTCCTCGTTTCTTCTTTGAGGGTCTCCATCATCTTCATGAAATAATTTTTAAGGTCTGTCTCCTCTTCTTCGTCTATGTAGTGCTTTTCGGGTCTTGCTGGTGTTGGATCCCTGGATTCTGGTGGGGTCATGTTGGTGTTTCTATTGCTGAGTGATCACTTATTCTGTCTTCTTCCCATCTCTTCTTCCAGTGGGTGCTGGTGGGGTCTTTCCATCTCCACTGGTCTCCTTCCTTCCTGCAGCTGAAGCTAGACTCACTGGGGTTGGGGTCTTGGAGGGGCTGATGTCTTTCCTGTGTGGGCGGGTCTTCTGGATGCCGGGAGCGGCCCCCGAAGATCGAGGGGGATGGGTGATGGGCGGGCGGTCCCCGCCAGAGACCCAATCTCACCCGAAGCTGGACTCGCTGGGTTTGGGGTCTTGGAGGGGCTGATGTCTTTCCTGTGTGGGCGGGTCTTCTCTTTTTAAAATTTTTATAGCGTACATAATGCTTTGTGTTTGCCAAACTAATTTCTTTCTCTCCTAAGCACACAGAAGCCATATTTACCAACTTAAGTGGTCATTAAGTTGGAACCGCTTGACTGGGTTTTAAAAAGTGTGGATAGAGATGTCGTTACCCAGTCCAGAACCACTGTGAAATTCCCCGTGTCCATTTTATGCTCATTCTTCCCCTTCCACTAGTTTTTCTGCCCGTGGGTTGAAGCTGGCAGCATTAAAACACGGGAAGAGTTTCAGAAAGTGCCTGAGTCATTCTCTGGATACTAGGCTGTCATGAGTCAAGCAATGATCTACTGTGTTAAGCCATTTAGACAAGGAAAAAGGGAGGCTTGACTAAAAACACTCTATCCTGACAAATTAGTCTACTGAGGATAGGCCCATGAGAGGACCCATTGTTATTTTTCTGTTAAATGGATGCATTAATAAATCAACTCCTTATCATTATGACCACACACGAATGCATCCAAGAAGCTTCAATCTTCAGTGGACTGTGATTGACACAGAGACTCACAACTATAATAGATAATGATGAACACCAGGACCCACAACGAGCCAGCATGCAGAGAATAAGATGCTGCAGAGTATTCAGCCCCAAATGTAACATGTATGCCACAGTCCCTCTTCCCAGAGCTCAGGGATCTCATTGTAGAAGAGGGAACAGAAGAGTGTAAGCTACAGAAGCAGTGGATGGTTACAAGGGAACAGTGCGTCCTGGACACAGAAGGGCAGGTGCACATTTACACTCACAGCAGTTGTGACAGCATGCACAAATCTTGTGCAAGCCTACACCAGTCCAAACCCCAGCACCTGAAGATGGGAGTTGGGCAAGGAGTCCCACACCTAGCCATGGAGCTACTGGTGATTGTTATCTTGAAGACAGAGAGAGTTTTCTCCAAAACTGTATCCCCTGAGAAGTTGGCCACACTCTGGTGGAACATCCCATATCAGTGCAAATTAGTTTTGATGGAAAAAAAACAGGACATGAAGTTGAATGAGTGTGGTAGTTTGAATGACAACAGTCCCCATAGGCTCACACATTTGAATAACTGGTCCCCAGTTGGTGACCTGTTTGGGAAGGATTAGGAGTATGGCCTTGTTAAGTGTCACCAGGGGTGGTGCTCTCCCTTCTCCTTCTCCTGCCTCATGGTTGTGACCAAAATGTGAGCTCTCAGCTGTTCCTTTACCTGCCATCATGGACTCTAGGCCTCCAAAAGCAGAAACCAACTAAATGCTTTCTTCTATAAGCTGCCTGGGTCATCAAAGCAATAAAAAAGTAACAAATTCAGAGAGTCTGGGGTGAGGGAGAGTATCATCAATACAGGTTGTATGCAGCATTTTTTTTTTCAAAGAAAAAAAGTATTTTTAAAAGATCCAGGGAAAGCATTACTTCCACAATGAACACTAGGGGGCTCCCTAACCTCATCTATCAAAATTAATCTCCACACTAGCTTTAGGATCTCTATTTTTGATGCTACACACAATTTAAACTTCTTTAGCACTGTTCATGTTTCTAGCAACAATGTTTATGTTTATAAGTAGTTTTCCAGAAGCTTCTGTCTCTCCACCATCACAGCTAAAAGCCCAAGACCGGAGAACAAGGACTGGCATCCCTCAGTTGAAATTTAAATAACAGATTCCACGCAGGGTCTATCCTACCCACACACAATACTCACACTCAGATCACATCTTGTAAATGAATCCACTGTTCCCTAAAACCTAGGCCTCTGGAAAAATAATATATCTAGCTAAGAGTCTGTGAGTTGAGGAGATAATTCGGTCTTCAGAGGCTTCTCCACCTTGAGATAAAATAGCTCCAGTGTAAAAAATACTTCAGTAAACACTCCAACACTCCCTGCATTGTAGGAGTGGGACTCGATGCTAGCACATAGTGGATTACAAGCACTGGCATGGTTAACAAGCGCCTCACCTGTCCAGCGTGTCATCAGATCTGTATCGGCTAATCGTAGCTTTCGGTTCCTCTCTCTCAGTAATTTTCCTGTAGTGAACATAGTTACCATGAGATAAAATTACAAAATTAGCTGACAAAACCTCTTATAAATTTGACAAAACATTGACCTAGCTAGCTAGCAAAGGTACATGTTAGCAAGAAAAGACAAAGTTGGCATACATGTCTTCTAAATTTTGTTTTGGGTAAAATAAATTAGGTCAAACTCAATTCCTACTGATAATACACAATAGTTCACTGGTTCTGATGATTTCTCCATGCTCTCAGAAAGCGCTGGCATGTAACACACTCACACTGTGAAGTGTAACACACTCACACTGAGGTTAAAGACATATGACACTAACAACTAGTGTATGCTCCTCCAGGGTTGCAGGTTTCTATAGAGTAGGCGTATCTGACCATCGCGCTTTGTCCCGTTTTATTAGATACTGTAAGCCCTCTCAGGGAACTGCTACAATGCTCTGTTTAACATTCAGCACCATGGACAGGCACAAAAGCCAAACACTTGGCCGCAGAAAGAGCAGCAAAGGAAAGAAAATTCTACTACATTCCTTAAGTTCTGAAGAACCCTCCTTGAATGGTTTGTAGCAAATGACAGAGTACTGTCTACTATGTAAAAAGTTCTGGATTCTACTCTCAACATCTCAAAACAAACAAGAAAACACACAAAGCAAAAACATAAACAATTTTGCAACAACAACCAGCCCATCCACTGATGGGAGATGCCATTCTGTAAATTTGTCTCTTATTGGTTGTTGAATAAAGCACTGTTGGCCAATAGGGAAGTATGATAGGTGGGACTAGGAGTCAAGCAGAACTCCGGGGAAGGATAAACACAGGGAGTCACGATGTAGCTGCCATAGGGGTAAGAAGTCCGGACCCTTTCTCCGGTAAGAGAAATACTTAGATTAACAATTATGGAGTAAATACTTAAGTCTGAGATAGCCAGTAAGAAACAAGCAAACGGCCAACAGCTTCGTAATTAATAGTGTCTTGTGTGTTATTTGGGGACTACAGCGTGCCAGAGCCCAGGCAACTGGTGGGGAAAAACCAAAGCGGCTGGCAAGGAAAAGGCTTCTCTCAACAATCCACAAACACCATCACTTTAGATTGTGGTTGGCTTTGTTCTTCCTGAAGTCCTGTGACCTATGGAGATCAAACTCTGTGGGGAATTACAGCACTGTTCATTATTATTTATTTTCATTTTCTCCTCTCCCACACCTTCAAGATGGATGCAGATTCAGTAGAAACTGGGGTTGTCTTGGAACCAGGTCTCAGATCAATGTCTGTTTCCAAGGATATTCCACCGATGATATTAACTTAATTGACATGATTACAGGATCTGTCCAAGGAACTACACTAGTACACTAGACTTTCTGGTTTCAGATAATATGACGCTGTTATCTGAGATGATGGGGCTATGTTAGCCCAGTCTCCGCCTTGCCAGCTCTTTGCACACATTGTCACCTCCGCTGGAAACCCCTCCCCTATGCCAATCAGCAGGCCTCACTTCAAAGCTTCCTCCTCATTCTTTAGGCAGTGACATCCACCAAAGACCACTTCTGTGGTGGGGTTTGGGGTTGTACAGGCCAAAGAAACCTCTCCTTATCCTCTGTTTCCATGACACTGTCACACATCTCTTCCACGGCTACTCCTTATGGCAAACCACAGTAGTGTGGCTCATGATATTTTCCATGAATGTAAGAGCTTCGTACTGTTGAGGTTGTTCATGCTTCTCTGTAGTCCCAGAACCCAGCAGATGCTCCGAGGTAGCTTCATGACCACCACAGGAAACCCTTGGGGCTGGGTCAAGAAGGGACAAGCAGCAGTTTGAGCCAGTACCAGGAAGAGTCTGCAGTACTCCTTTAGGAGACTTATTCTATGATATTAGTTGTAGGTCATCTCTAGGTTCATGGAGCTCTGTTACCCATGATAAAAGTTTGGTATACTGCTTTAGCCACCAAGAGGAAGAGTTCAGGAAACCATGTGATTTTAAATGTAAAGTTAGCATGGATGGCACCAAGGTCCTGTTATACTAAGGTGCATGGCAGATACGCTGAGAAGATGAAGCTTGGTTCTCACTGTCATGGTTTAAAATGGGAGTGTGTGTTCTCCAGTGTTCCAGAGAAAAGCTATTCGAATGCATGGAACAATTTCTGTTGGTTGTTGAACTCAAATAATCAGTGTGTCTTTGCTTGGTGAAATGAAGGCCCAATGTAAACCAGATGCCAATTCCCAAAACAATGAAGAATAAGGTGAAATCACAGAGGGTGAGTCCCTAGACAACAGAACATCAAGTTAAAATTCCTTCAAAAAAGACTTCATTGAAAATTTGCTTATACAGAAAGAATGGAAGAGCCAAAGGTGCTGGGGGACACAAGAAAATAAGGCCCTCTGAATCAACTGAGTCAGGTGCAGTTGAGTTCTCAGAGACTAAAGCCATAATCACATGGCCTACATGGACATATAATTAGTTTAGTGTTTTTATGGGACTCCTGAATAGGAGGATGGATGGGTCTCTGACTTTTGTGCTTGCCCTTAGGATTACTTTCCTTCTGTTGAGTTTCTGTGTCCAACTTCAATAAAATGGTTTTTTCTTCAAAAAAAAAAAAAGAAAATTTGCTTATAATACTGATGGACCAATATTTGTTATATAAAATAGAATTCTTTGAAAGTACTTTCAAAGACAGTAAAGCAGGAAGTGGGGGCAAGGGACAAATTAGACCAAGTATGTGGCACATGTGTGAAAATTGTCACAACAAAACCTATTATTTTTATACTAACTTTAAAAAGAACTAAAACCAACAGTTAATTGGTTGAGGTTTTTTTTTTCAAAAAAGCTGGCATTAGGAACACAAAAATGGTAAGTTAGGCACCTTTAGAACAGTTCAAAATTATGAAAAGGTTTGAAATGGTTAAGAGAAATTCACAAGCATCAGATCCACAAGAGGACGCTTTTCAAGGTGTATACTTAGGTATTTTATTTTTAGTCCACACTCCCTTACCAAAGACTTCTTACTGGAACACAAACACAAGCCACCGCACCAGATGAAACTTGGCTGTAATGAATATTTAGGTTCTTCTCACAGGTGTGGCTGTCCCTAAGCCTGTGAGCACAAGCCTGTGCCAGTGAGAATATTATCTGTCTGATGAATCTGAGATTGCCCACATCACTGTCATTCCTCATTTTATCTGAATGTCACTATTGATCTGTCCTTGGCAATCTACTTAGGAGCACAGGTAAGTCGGTGTTTTGCCACAAGCCCTAGCTTTCATCAAAGAACCACTCTGTCCCACACAGCGTGTGAGCTCTGAAGTTACTTCTGTAATTTCAGCTTCCTTTCCCTAAGTATCAAAGATGTCTTCTCTGGGCATGTCCTTATGGGAGCCGTTTCTCTCCATCAGTGCAGTGGAATGAGATGATTTATGAGCCTCCTGCAAGCCATAGTTCTGGGAGCTGACATGGGGTGGTTTTCCGGAAGAAAGCCCTAATAATATTCCAGGTTCCCCTTTGCATGTGTACATGCTGAAGAAAGCCCAAGGCTAGCTACCTGTGCTCATCTGGCCTGAACAAGTTTTCTCTCTAAACCTCCAGTTTTGTTTTAAACGATGTAATTGTTGGAGACGCTTACCTGTCCAAGGCATCATGGGAGTTATGCCGGCTGAGCACCACCCTGCCGTAATTTTCATCTCTGTAGAGAAAGGCCCAAACTAAGATACATCAAAAGTTACCATAATGTTTGCTAGCCACTAAATAAGAGGGACAGAGAGAGAGAGAGAGTTTACAACTTCATGCAAGGTTAATTTGTTTTTACTTCATGCCTAAGAGCACAACCGTAAATCTAAATTAACCAGTCACAACATGCAGGAGTGGAGTGGAGTGGAACAAGTTTGGCAGGACAAAAGGCCATTTGTCCCATGAGATTTCCTCATGATTCAACAATGAGTCAGTGCCTTTTTGTTGTGATTGTTTTTATTTTTTCCTTATTAACCAGAGTATGGGAACACAAGACCACTGACTTTGTATGTATTAGTTCTTTCCTACAAGAAGAAAGAACAGAAGTTTTCTATAAACATTCTTCAGTTTTAATTAAAGCCTGCTATGTCTGCACATTTTGATGGATTTGATAATTTACCTTGACCAAGTATAGGGAAACAAGTACTAAAACTTCAGATGAGGGAGATTAATCATTTGCAGGAGAGGAAGCCCATTTATTGAACCATGACAATGCATGTGTCTTAAAATGCCTGTCTGCTATATTAGGCAGGGTGGGGTGGAGGTGGGGGGATTGATAACACATTGTTTATGCTAGTCAACAGATGAGGTCATTCATCAGAGATTTTGTGGCTTTCCTAAAATCACGTGATTATCAAGTGACAAAGGTGGCTTAGGACCCAGATCTTTGTTTCCTGTCCTCAATTCTCTTTACAGTCAACCCTTCGATAGAAATTTTATACATGAGCTGCCAAAGCCATGCCCTTCTTACTTTGTGGGGTGGACCCGGAAGTGTGAGCAACATTAGCAAGTAGCCTTGAAAGCCAGCAGAGGGCAAGTACCCCAACTTCTCCCTGCCAACCCCCCAAACCGGAAACACCACATTTTCTCTGGTTGAGCACCATTAACATTACTCAACATTCTGAAATTACGTTTAAAGAAGCTATAAAGGAAACTATAGCAGATAATTAAGAAGAAAGGCGAGCAGAGAGACTGAAGCAATCTGTCAAAGCACACACCCTCAGCAAGCTACTGAGGAAAAGTTCTCCTCTTCCCTGGCATCCCTCTGCAAGATTCAAGGAAGCACAGCAGGTACCAGGCACGTTCTCACCTGAAAACAAAGGGCAACACACAGCCCAGAACAGGCCAGTGGGAGCTGGAAGAGGACCAGAGCCAATTTCCCCTTCACGCTGCAGCTACCATGCCATCCAAGCTAGCTTCCCTGGGCCTGATTAGGGAGGCTTGCTTGGCATAGAATCAACATTCCTACCCACCATGACTTATCATCGGCATCTCTGCCTTCATCCCTCTGTATAAATACTTGGAAGCCAAATTTTATTATGCACATTTGTTATCACATGGCCACTACAGAAAAAGAGAAGCACTCTCACAGAAGAGCTAAGTAGGATTGTAGGAAGGAGAGACTGTGGTCCAACAGTGCTCAGTCTAACAGTGATTGAGTCTCTGCACATCTCTGTAAGCCCTTAAATAAATAAGGTACAATAGCAGAAGGCAACAGATGCTTTTACTACTTATTGCCAGTCATAAGTACATTCCTCAAATAAGCATGTCTGGATAGTGTGTAAAAGTTAGATTAAGTATCCCAAAATGCAGTTTCTCAACTTGGGGCTGCTAACACATGGTATGCTTCAGAGTTTTGGCTGTGATGTCTAACCCTCATACTTCAGGATGTTTAACAACACTTATGACCAAAAATATCTCCCAACATTGTCAAACACCCCCTGAGGTAAGATCACCTTTGATTAATGGTAAAATGGAAAGACAATGGATCATATTAAAATATCAATTCTACCACGTAATAGCTGTGTGCCATTTGGACAAATAACATAGCTTCTCAGAGCTGCACATTTCTCTCCTATAAAATGAGATCACAATACCTACCCTATATGTTTATATGACCTTGTGATATTTCATGAACCAGATATCTAATGCAAAGTTTAACAGGTAAAGAAATCAGAGAATGTGTTTCTTGTATGCAGCAGAAGGATGGGTTCTATCTTCGAATCCATTCTGCTAGTCTGTGTCTTTTTGAGACTGTTGACATTGAGGGATATTGATGACCATTGATTGATGATTCTTGTTTGTGCTTGATTTATTGGTAATGGAGTTATTGTGTGTAGGTTCTCCTCCCTTTTTCTTTTGGTGTTTGGTAAAATGGGATTATCTATTGCCTGTGTCTTTGTGAGTGTAATTTATCTTCATTGAGTCTAGGTTTTCCTTCCAGCACTTTCTGTAGAGCTGGATTCATGGATACGTATTGTTTAAATCTGGCTTTGTCATGGAATATTTTGTTTTCTCCATCTGGTTGAGTGGGGGGTAGAATAGGGGAAGAGGGAATCATAGGTTAGAAGACAGATCTGGCACCAGTGAGACCTCTAGTGATCTAAAGGGATGACACCAACTGGCAAGCTAAGCAATAGTGGAGAGACCACCTTGAATGCCCATTCCTGATAATGAACTTGATGCCTATAACTATCCTGGAGCCTTCATCCAGTGAATGATGGAAGCAAAGGCAAACGCCTACAGTTAAACACTGAACTGAACCAATGGAACCCAGAGACAGAGAAAGAGGAGCGATGAGCAAATTGGCAAAGAATGGGCTGGCAAAACCAGCAGAGACAGCTGATCTGAACATGGGAGAGCTCTTGGACCCCGACCGACAGCTGGGAGGCCAGCATGGGACTGATCCAGACCCCCTGAGTGTGAGAATCAGTGAGGAGGCCTGGGCAACCTATGGGGCCCTGGGCAGTGGATCAGTGTTTATCCCTGGAATACAAACAGTCATCGTGTGTCCATAGCACAAAGAGGGATGCTCTCTCTGCCTGGACTCTTAGGGGGAGTGCCTGGACCCTTCCCTGAATGAAATGACAGACTCTAGATATCCCCTATGTGGAAGGAAGTAGCGATAGGGTGGGAGGGTGGGGGGGATGGTGGGAGGGTACAGGAGGAGGGGAGGCAGAGGGAACTGGGATTGGCATGTGAAGCAAGCTATTTAAAATTAAAATTAAAAAAACACTAAAAAAAAGAAATCAGAGAATGTATCCATAGCTATTCATCATTTATATATAATTCATAACTAATTTATGATAAAAATGGATCTGAGTTATATGTATGTCTATAAATCTGTCATATAATAAATCTTTTTAAAAATTATATATACAGCATTCTGTCTGCATATATGCCTGCATGCCAGAAGAGATCTCATTACAGACAGTTGTGAACCACCATGTGGTTCCTGGGAATTGAACTCAGGACTTCTGGAAGAACAGCCAGTGTTCTTAACCCCTGAGCCATCTTTCTAGCCCACATAATAATCTTTTTATACACTGTGAATATGTGTCACTCTGACTGGCTTAATTAAAAAGCTGAATGGCCAATGGGTAGGCAGGATTTTCAGGGCAGAGAGGATGCTGGGAAGAAGAAGGGCAGAGTCACAAGGAGACACAGAGGAAGTGTGACACGTAGGAGATGAGGTAGCAAGCCATGAGCCATGAGCCAGCACATAAATTAATAGAAATGCGCTGATTTATGTCATAAGACCCAGTTAGAAACAAGCCTAGGAGAAAGACTTCTACATAACCTATGTTGACAATATTGCTAGAAGCCTATGGTTTCAGATCTTAAAAATACCCAGCCAGCAGAAGCAGTGTAGCTAACAGAAGCGATGTTCAAAGCCAGTGAATCTTTGCCAGTGTTTGTCCTTGAATAAGATCACGTGTTTTTTTTTCAGCCACCTAGAGGTAGATGGGCCTGAAACGGGTGGGAGTTCACTGATTTTATTCATGCAGGTAGAAGTTTTAATTATTATTTCATACTTGTAAATCTGAAAAGTTACTGGAATGATCAATACATCATAGGGGGGATTAACTGCCACCTTTTGGGAAACTGGGAGATCTTGCTTTCTTCCCAGTTTTCGAAGGAAGCACAGACACACATTCTCGGTGACGGTCATGCTCTCCTCCGTAATAGCTCACATTCCTGTATATGTAAATGCTTGTTTTTAAAAGCGCAGGTTTGCTTATGAATGCGGTATCGCTGATTTACGCTTACTAAATCTTTCAAAAGTTGGGCTATGTAACCAAGTACTTTAGTGGGAAAGCCTGCTTTTTAGATGGTCCTATCTTTCGAGCAGAGGTACCTCTCACCCAGCCCCCCATCCTTCCCTCGTCACCCTTACTTTTCCTCCTCGGGGCATTTCTTGATCCAGCTGTTATCCTGTAGGAAAGCCCTTCTTCTGTTCACATCGTGGAAACCCTGCTGTCTCAGTGCGGCCTTCTGGGTGCTCTTGGGGTCTATCAAGAGAAACACGAACAGCGGTGGTACAGTGAAGCCCAATGCGGGGCGTTAGCCAGAAGGTCTTGAGAGGAGCATCTTGTTGGCAAGTCTAGTACCAGGGCGCCCCAGCAAGAAAGAACAAATCCCACACCCCATCACCAAAGATAACAAATAAAACTGCTCAGGTGCCAACTGAAACTACCAGTGCAGCTCGGGAGGCCCCATCTGAGGCCCAGAGAACGCAGGATCATCAGACCAAGACAAACACAGCTAGGGTTTAGTGGGCAGCCATTCTGCTCAATACAAACGCGCCTTAGAAACACACTGTAAATTGGGTGCGCTTGATTACACACGACTTAGTTCATGAATCTCACAGGCACCAGGGTACAGCTCACCCTCCAAAAGACATTTGTGCTGATTTTTAAAATTTTTAAATTACAACGGCATAAATGGAAACTACAGCATTTTAAAAGTGTATTTTAATATTTTAAAGAATTTCACAAGTGAGTACTACATTTATATCATATTCCCTTCCCCATCCCAATTCTTACTTTTAAAAAAAGATGACTAACTTAAGCAAAGCTAATATAATAAGGCCATTGTAAATAATAGTTAATTTATAGTAAAAAAATTATGATCTATGAGTTGCTTTTCTTATATTTTAAAGGTTTCTTAAATAATATTTTAGTAAACATTATCTGTATTACCATTTCCAGTAGGGGACTTTTTTCTTGAGGAAAAATTCGACATGCTGGACTCCAATGAGGATCTAAAATAAAAATGGGGACGAGAGAAAATATTAAGAACCTTCAAGGAGCAGTTGAATTGCTAGGATATATTTTTCAATGATAGTGGCAAAGCCTGCACGTATAACAAATATTCCATATGATGCCTTCCAAGAATTTGAGGTTATACCTGTTCCAAGGAGTTTATTTTATACATGGAAAAAATGAGGCCCAGGGTGTTTCACATCTCCAGGGCTATAAAATAAGCAATCAATTCAATTCAGTTTTCCCTTGATTCATTTATTCAGTCAATGGATGCGCACTGAGCACCTGCATTGTGCCTGGCCTGAGATGAGAGTAGAGCACAGTGAGTCAGACAAGCGTTTGGTCATGGTAAATGGGCAGAATGGCAGAGGGGAGAAGGCCTAATTCCTTCTGGGGAAATCAAAGTAAACTCAGGCAATGGTGTGTCATGAGAAGAGAAGTAACAAGATGCACAGATCTAGGGAAACACTGGAGATTCTAAACAACCATCCCATGGGGGATCTCCAAGGTCCTTAGCCATGACCAGCCACCGTTACTAAGATGTGAACAGCTTAATACAACCCCAATCTCAGTTCTTCTGTGACTGATGCCATTCCCCAGAAGCTATTTATAGCCCCTTCTTATATTTACATGTTGTGAAAAAACAAAATCTATTTGACGGCAGTGATGGGACAAGTCCTTTTATGTGTACGTTTCTCTTATTGGTTGATGAATAAAATACTGTCTGGCCAATGAGACAGGAAGATAGGCAGGACTAGGACGAGGAGAATTCTGGGAAAGGTAGGCAGAGAGAGCCCACCCCCACCCTGTTGCCACCAGAACAGTCACCATGTGAGCTGCCAAAGAAGTTAGAGGTCCGGTAAGATAAGACCACGTGGAAACACTTAGATTAATAGAAACCGGTTAATAAGACAGAGCTAGCCAATAAGAAACCCAAGCCACCAGCCAACACTTTTTATAATTATTATAAGTCTCTGTGTGTTCATTTGGGGCTGAAGCGGTGGTGGAACTCAGACGGGACAAGAGAAAAAGAACCTCTTGTTACATGGTTCCCAGCAGGTAAAGGCAATTGCCACCAAGCCTGACAACCTCAATTCAATCCCCACAATCTGTAGCTAAATGGGTGGAAGGAGAGAACCGACTCCCATAGGTTGTCTTCTGGCCTCCACACATGTGGGCAAGCATACACAGACACACTAAAGAAATAAATAAATAAAAACAGATCCTTAATGACTGTGTTAGCATGAACACAACTAGGACTGGCTGCAGCATTTATGCTTATCTTTACCATAGTTGCATTTTTCCCTTTCTTAAAAGAAGCTAAAAGGAGAACACTTCTGAGAATCTTAGAGATTGTAGACCTAAGGTGCTGGGCCTAGTCAGTCCTCAGTTACCTTGAAAGTGGAGTTACAGCTCTAAATCCAGAAAGGCCCAGGTAAATGGGGACAGCTAGTCACATTAAATAGATACTCACATCCTTTGTGGCATCTATCCAACCAGAAAGCATACTGAAATTGAAGGACTATTCAAGCTTAATTAAGAAGTAAATTCTAGGTCCAATTTATCATATTCAAGTTCTGCAATCATAGCCCTTAACTTTCCCCATCAAACAGAGATGTATGAGATCATGAGGGCATTGTGATGATGATGATCAAATGAATAATGTTCATAAAAAATGCTTTGTTAAACTATAAATGCTGCTTAGTACAGTATTGTCAGCTATAGTATAACCTGGAGATTCTAAAGTCCTCTCTACCTCCATCTTTTGATGTCAAAAATACTTCCATCTGTATTGTCATAGCCATAAAGACATGTCCGTGTAACCTGGAAATGACTGATGTCCAGTCCTGAGTCTCAAGGCAGAGGCAATTTTGTGAGGAAAATGTGCACTTGGGGATTTGCTATGGGATCTTGCTGAAGCTCAGTTGGCACAAAGTCTATCTTTGCTCGGCTCCTTCTGCCTCCCCATCCCTCACTTCCTGCTCTTGAGACTACCTGCCATAAGTCACAGACACCCAACTTCCCTCTCATGCTCTGCTTCTAAGATACACAACAAAGACAAACAGCGACAATCACAGTCAGTGCCTTCCTAAGCTGGGAGTCATCTTGGGACCTCACAGCCCAGGTTTCTCATCTAAAAATAAGGCCAAAAAAAAAAAAAAGGCAAAGTCAAGCTGTTGTGAATCAAATGAGGACACATATACAGTGTCAAATCATTGCACAACTCTAGTAGGTACTCAAAAATTCTTAACGTCATGTCTTTATTTTCTGCTTTGGAAAAGAGTGAGCAAAAATAAGAAAGAGAGGGAGAGTGTAAGGAAGGGATAGGACAAGTTTTGAACACAGGCAGATGGATATTCAGAGTGTGGGACAGCCCCTGGCTGGTTCATTTGGAGGTTGACAAGCTGTGTTAGGAAAATTAAGTGAAGAGAAACCTAAAATCAAGCATAGGGTTAGTGAGATGGCTCAGAGGATAAGGGTGCTTGCCACCATGCCTGATGAGTTCAGTCCTCAGGATCTACATGGTTGAAGGAGAGAGCTGACTGCCAGGGACTGTCCTCTGACTCCTGCATGTATGTTGTGACAAGTGTGACAAGAATATGCACTCCAGACTCACAGAGAGAGAGAGAGAGAGAGAGAGAGAGAGAGAGAGAGAAGAAGAAGAAGAAGAAGAAGAAGAAGAAGAAGAAGAAGAAGAAGAAGAAGAAGAAGAAGAAGAAGAAGAAGAAGAAGAAGGAAGGAAGGAAGGAAGGAAGGAAGGAGGAAGGTAGGAAGGAAAGAAAACACTTATCTCAATTATTCACTAATTTTGCCTCAATTTTATCCCTACTTCTTGGGATTCCTGGCTTACCCATTTCCAGATTCCAAATGGAATCTAATAAGTTTTCCTTTTTTCTTCTTAGCTGACAAAGATGGGGAATATTTCAGCTGACTGAACTGTGATTCTGAGGTGGTCAACATGTTTAATGTGTATTTGATTACACATTTGCAAAGATTGCAAGTTCAATTGTGAGACCAGGAACAGGGTGAGTGGAGAAGAGACATTGTATAAGAAGCTGAGCTTCAGTGAATAAAGCCTAGGCTTCCTCTTCTGTTCCCAGTGTAGGATAATGTGGACACTGCCTAGCTATTTCCTACTCTGAATCATACCCCCAAATTCACATGTTGAACTCTAAACTTCCATCAGACTGTGATGATATTTGAATATAGTGACTTTCAAGAGGGGAAAATTAAAATAAGGCCTTTGGGGCAGCAAGGACCATTCACCTACCCCAAAGGACTCAAGTGAACCTGACACCTTGATTTTGGACACCCAGCTTCCACAATTGCCAGACAATATGTTTCTGCTGTCTAGCTCCCCACATCTCTGTGTGGTGTTTCATTGTGGCATCCCTAATGCTTATGAAAGGACTGATCGCGCTTCTACAAAGTAGTCAAGTCTCTCAAAAGAGCCTGGTGCCAAACTGCCCCTAATTTGTGCCTTCAACTTCTTTAACTGGCATATTATATAGAGCAATGACCAATATCATAAACGCATGCTTGCCGGGCCCCTGCTTTGAGAGCATAATGTGCATGTGCACCATGGACATTATCTCTCACCATCAAATGAACTCTATGAGGTAGCCATTATCACTGCCAGCACTCAGATAAAGCATGGGAAGTTCAGGAACACTGTAACTTGCTAAATGGCAGAGGCAGACTTCTCAAACAAAGCCAACTCTTTACTGAGCACCCAGCAATCATGAGTCACTCAAAGACTAGACAGGTACCCTGCAGATAGAGTGGCAGACATAGTGCTGGTTGGGGGCCCACCTGACCCATGACATCTCACAAGTCCAACAAGCTCTACCCACAGCGTATCAGGGCAACCAAGGCAGCCTTTCAAGGAATCATTGCCACAGACGAACCTTCACAGAAGAGTCACTATTGTGCATTCTTGAACATTATCTCGGTTTTAAAACATATGTCAACACACAAACCTGCACGTTGGTCACAGCAACATTTTTTGTAATAGCAAAAAACAGTGGAACTAACCTAAACATGGATCAAACAAACAGATAGTTCGGCATATCCACACAATGGACTGTTGCTCAGGAATACACAGGACTGAGGTAGTATTCCATGCTAGAATATGGATGAAATGTAAAATGAAGGGAGACATACACTTAAAAAAATGTGAACAGTAGTCTATGAAATGTGAAATAGTCAGGCTCTTGGAAAAAATTAACTTTTGCTTTTTAGAAGCTGGAGCAAAGGAAGATGCTGCTAAAGGAAATGATACTTCTTTGGAGTCAAAAAATGTTCCATAATTAGACAGTGGTGAATTTCAAAATAGCACTGAATTTTATACTTTCAACTGAAAAAATGTTATGGTATATAAGTAAGCTTTCAACTAAAAAATCCCCAAACTAAAAACTGTCAGTAGGCACAACTCAAGGGAGAGCCTGATTTTGCCCCCATCATTTTGCTTGGATAAATGGAAGTAAGATTTTATTTCACAGGATTACTTCAGGTCAAAAGGAACTTATATCCATCCAACCACTGGGAAACATCCTTGCTTAAAGACTTCTGGCTCCTGATGAGACTCCAATGTCTATTTTTGGTTTGGAAACAGAGTTGCACTCTTTCTACAAGAAAGCATGAATGGGTGTCAAAAGGAAAATGTCAGTCCCATCCAAGATTATGCCCATGTGAATTACCAGGTGGATACAACAGATTGTGTGACAATAAGAGAATGGAACATTCTATCATGTTGCAAAACCATGTAACTATTGGATACCATGTTTTCTGATATTCCAATTAGTGTGCTATATAACAACTTATTATATATATTCTTTTTATACCAAAATATTAGATGAATAGGATAGTTAGCACATATATGATAAGTATATACTATATATAGTTTACAAAAATACTGTAAATAGCTATTTCTGTATCATTAACTTAAAATTCAATGTAGAGAAGACATACTTGTTCTCAGTTAAAACATATAAATCTC